CTGCACAGTCTTCTAATTTAGGCGTTTTGATATAGTACGTTTCAGGTAGAAGGCAATTTCCTTCACAGTAGTTCGAGTTGAAAGAAAAGGTATCTCTAGACCAATCTACGGATGAATTATGTTTTTTGAACCATGTACCGCCTAGGATAAGCTCATACTTACCCAGGTTTGTGAGAAAAAATTTTATAATTTCATTGTGACCGTCGATTTTGAGTCGTAGAGATACGGTGTGTGTAATTTGAGCAGCAAGCATACCATTTACAAGATAAAGTTGGTGGGGGGTTGGGAGTGTAGAGAAGGGGAGGGGAGGTTTCGTCTTTGCGCACAGTCGAGGTCGTAAAAGTTATCAGTGGCTCCACAATCGAGGAATGCTTTTGTATAAAAGGTATTACCTAGAGAAACAATTGAACAGGAAAGGAGTGGATGATCACTACCTGGTGGTGAGAGAGAAAATTTGTAGGTTATTAAAATTATAATTGTGTAATTTCTAATCCACATATACTGGTGGCCTCTGATAAACTATTTGTTTGACTATAATCTAGTTCCTGATCGCGACTTTGACCAGAGACTATACTTTTTCCTCCTCGATTATAGTCTTCTTATCAGCAGATTTTTTCTTGTCTTTGTTCCATAGAGCTTTTGCACAAACTCGTGCCCGGTGACCTGGGTCATAACACCAACTGCAAAGTTTATTTTCGAAACAGTAATTCCGTTTAGCACTCTTCTCTACTTCATTCCGGGGAATACGGTGATTTGAAGCGTCAGAGGATGTCCAAACAATAGCCGGGCCGATTTTTGCTGCACTCAGGTCCATTGTATCTCCAGGTGCGGGCGATGAGGCAGTGCTAGGGAGAGGAAGGGACGAGTGGCTACCTGAGGCTAGACTACTAGTTGTATAATTTGGGTTAGTAGAGCGAAGTACTGCATCAATATGCCTAACTTCAATTAAGTATGATGTCAGGTCTATAGGTAATGGCTGGCGGAGCATCACACGATTCTTGATCTGGGCTTTTATGTTCGGGAGAAAAGAGTCATATAAATGATTGATTAGAGCATTGTCGGAGAGTTTCGTTTTTTGGGCTACTTCAAACCAGTCAGAGATATGTGTAGCCGTATTTTTTCGGCCCTGTTTTATTGTCAGGATTTGACGGCAAGCAACATTTTGCTCGTCGATGTCGGCAAATGCTTGTTCTAAGAGAACAAGAATTGCATCTGTTGAGGCAAAATTGACTGTGCCGTTCCTATTAATTCCATAAGCAATTGTGGAGTAGGCTTTTCCTTCAAGACGAGACACTAAGTACAACATCTTGCTCTACTCTGTGGGGTACCAATCTTCATTTGCGATGAACTTCATGTTAATTTTACGAACAAGGAGAGGTAGTTCCTTTCGCAACTCAGAATTATCAGCCGAGAAAATGACAAGGTCCGGACGTTCGGCTGATCGGAACTGGCTTGTAGGTAGTTCATTTTTTTGTGTTAAAGGCTGCTGTTTTTCTAGGTTCTCAATCTCGCGCTGGAGTATTGTATTCTGTCGTTGGAGAGTAGCGACTTGTTATTGGAGCTGCAGACTACTTTGGCTTGGCGCTTTTTTCTGTGATTTAAGCTTGGAATTTACGTCTGCAAGATCTTGGTTCTTTTCCAACAGAGTATCATACTCGTTTTTCAGCCGACAAGCTTCTTTATCAAGTTGGAAATGGGCATTTGCAAGATCCATAATTTCATCACTGAGCGCTCCTGGTGTAACCTCCGGAATTTCTCCCGTCATAGCAGCAGTGAAAAGATTTTGATTTGGGACTGTACATAGGAGAGGGTATCTCTGAATAAAAACTGTATCTCTTCCATCGAATTGATCTTGTATGAGGATTTTAAGAGGCGCCGGTATCCCAGTGCCATCAGGGTTTCAAGGGTTATTTTCCATTCTAATTTCTACTTAAATATGACTCAGAAAATGTAAATAGGATTATTCTTGGGCTTGAATGTGTATATAATTTGAATTTGAAATGGATTTTGTGTATAGAAATTTATTTCCCAGTTATATGACTTAAAAATATTCAAACTTAAACTTTGTTAAATCTGGTTTGATAGATTTGCTTATTTATTTTTATTTTAATTAATATTTACGCACGAGGGCAGTAATTCACAATGTTTTGGTAGACAATATGTCACAGGAAGCTTTATTAGCTGGGATTGACGAGGTCTAATCTAGTTAAATGAAATTGTCTACGAGGAGGGGAAAGTTATCTAAGTATCTACAGAATATATATTTACAGTGGGTCACTGTTTTGATTAAGCGAGTTCATGTGACTTATGTGAATCGTCCGTTTCCTGACATTAGAGCCATCCTGAGTTTGGTACCACTTAAAGTTCATCTCATGGATGTGTCCCGAGCGTTTGCAGTATGTGCATTGCTTCTTCCCAACTTGGTCGAGACTTTTAGTGGGCTTTCTTTCTTCTTCACTCCCCATGAGTGCGACCACGAACGTCGGCTGTAGTTTTTGATAAACTTACTGCATAGCACGAATTGACATAATAGCTGAAGTGAACGGAATATCTGGGGACTTAACGGAATAGACACAGACATTTAAACCCCACCACAGCATTTAGAAAAATTTGATAACAGTCGCTTCTTTATGTCAAAATCAATAGGCCTAGAATTTGCGTATAGAGGATTTATTTCGTTCCTTACTTCAGAAAGCTTCTGGAAAAATTCGTCAACCTCGTGGTCGTCCTCGATAAAAATCCCCCAAAATTCTTCCAGGCAATCGTCCAAGTCACCAGATGGATTAGGACAGTAGAACTCTTTTAAGTTGTCACAACATTCCTTCGAAGTATAGGTCGAGTGAACTAGATGGAATACGATTTCAGGTACTAATTGTAAAATGGCAACACTGATGTGCATATCAACCTTCTGAATATCGCGAGCAACAATTGTCGTACGGGCATCTTCGATTTCTAATTCTGGCACCTCCTCTTGTATATAACGCTATAGATCATAAAGTGATAAAACATCACTAAAGAGAGAACTTCACCGATTATATGTAGAATTACTCAATATTGGTGCATGCCTCATGGACTCGAGGATCCGTGCCGACGATACTTTTTATATAAAGTGTCTAATATAGTAAACCCCTGTAAAAACAGAAATAAAAACTCCAAAAATGATTCACTGTGAACTTCCCGGCAATATTCGATAAAAAGGTAAAGCTTCGACTTCGATGTAAGATGAGCTAACTTGGTCTGATAACCTATTGGAAAATCGGTATGGGTTCAATGAGTAAGGCGGCTCAAAAAATAAAGGCGCCATTTTCCAATAATAAGAGCATTATAGAAGTTGCGGTCTGGGTCAGATAGGATCCCAATGTGCTGTATGGTCTCAGACTCAAGTAGCAAAGTAAATCGCACAATCAGTTTTGCTCAAAAGTGTAGATTAACGTGAGCAGGCCGATAGGTAGACCATGTACTGATCCCATGACCTAGAAAGGCTAAAGTTCGGGACCGGCCCGCGGCGTGTAGGTGGTTAACTTCTGTGAGATCATGCTCATAAACTGAGGCATGCTAGCCGAAAAGCTGGCCTCAGAAAAATGTCCGTACATCGCATGGCATAGTCTTGTCTTGTCTTGTCTTGTTCATTTACGTGCTAGGTAAAGTGATTCCCGTTGCACTCCTACTGGAGCTTAAGCACAGGTGGGGCCGGGCTGGATCAAGTTAACTACCATTAAGTACATCTACCTCGTCCCACCCGAATGACCGGACCACCTCAGACTTCACCCATGTGTTAAATCATGTCAAGCCCAACCGTCCAGAGAACCTTCTTTTGACGCGCCGAAGCGCAAATTCCTCCTCAGCCTCGGCCACCACGCGCCCGAGCCCTTGACACCTTCGCCGTCTGTAACTTTTCCCTTCGATTCATTCGCAGCCTTGGCTCATCTCAGCATCTCCTCATCTCATCCAAGGGTCGTTTTCTTCACTGGAGGCCTCATCCAGTCGCCCACCAAGGCCTCCTCAGTTTATGTTCCTTTTTGATTCCTTCATGTCCACCCCTCCGGCCTTGCCCAGTCGCTGCCGTACCCCTAACCGTGGAGGTCGAAAACGAGACTGAGAGCTCAAGGCCGACGCACCGGTGCCCCGGCCTTTGTCGAACGCTGTAGTTAGTGTGCCGGCGAAATGTCGTACGTATTTCGTCGGTGGCGATTCGTCGTAGGTCGAGTTGTTGGTGCCCTTGGCCGAGGTGAGGACGCATTTAAGGCCGGTATTTCGACCGTACCTTTACAGCGGCTGGCAGTTGCGGAGGGACGGACATCCTCTTGCTTCTTAGTTGGCGATTTGTCTTTTGGAGGTATGGGATTGCTTAGGTAGGTGGTGAGATGATTGTGGGGAGGGCCGCAAGATGAGTTTGGCTCGGAGTGATTTTCCAGAGAAATAGAAAATAAGATGTTGAAGGTGTCGGTTGTTGTAATACGAACATCAGACAGGTTATAGGCTGTCTGCGGTTCGTATCTGGGGTGTAGATGGTTGATTTCGTTGAGTTGTGCAGTCGTCAAATCTCTGCAAGTGGGATTTTCGACCAAAAATGAGCCAACACCACTCCTCCCGATCGCCAACCCGACGAAAACTCTCAAATTCATCCTTTGTCGTGACTGAATCTCGGCTCTGGGAGAATATTTCACTCCCAGGTTCGTAGAGGACACCACTGACAGGTGTTCAGCCTTCGTCCTCCGCATAGCATAGTCTACAAGCCATGCTGTAATTTGTGGCTTCCCGAGTAATTTCTGTGCGCTTGTACTTTATTTTAGACGTGCGAGATTACGTTGGCCATGAAGTAATATTCTCCGCCGTAAGGAAGGACAGCCCGGAAAAGCTGGGCAATAAGTTTTCCGAGTCAAGTGTGAGTTGCACAACAAACCCGTGACCCAAATCGCTCAGCCCTTTATTGCTCGCCGCTCTCAGACCTTCAGAAAGGACGTATCTGGGTTAGATGGTTCAGAGAACCACCAATCCATATGTCTCTAGTTCCCTACTCTATTCGTGACAGTCGTGAGGTTGTGCTGTGGGTTAAGCTTCAGCAGATCACAAAAAATTAACTAACTAACCATGTTCGATCTAGTCGTCACAATGATGCCGTAGTTTTGCGGGATCCAAAGACCAAACAATTGGAACTTCGCGGTGCTGATTCTCCATCACATTGTCCCACATGTCTCCGAGCATTTCAAGACACCTCTGAACCCGGTGACTCTCCTCATCGGGCAGCACCATTCATCAGCCCCGAATACTTCCGCATGCTGCAATCAGTGATACGAATAAACAGTGAGGAAACTTCATCGAGTCAGATTCATAGACTAGAAGATCATGACTATGATTCTCCAATCTACAGCACAGGCAATTCAGTGACTGGCACAGAAACATTCACAAGCACACCAGCATCTGTAAAAGCAGGCTACAGTATAAAGAAAGATGCTTTTTGTCCAAATTACTTCACAAAGTTTTTCATCGAAGAAATGGAACTCGGACGTGGAGGTAAAGGGGTTGTGCTGCTCGTCCGCCATGAGCTTGATGGCGTATCATTAGGCTTGATAGCCCGTTCATCAATGGACAGGATTATGGACTGACGGTATCAGGTCAATTTGCTTGCAAAAGAGTACCAGTTGGAGACGACCATATATGGCTAGAGAAGGGTAGGTTGAAATTTCCGATATTATTACTACGTGGCTAATACAATTAGTCTTGATTGAGGTACAGCTCCTTCAAGAATTATCGCACCCAAATCTAGTTTCTTATCGACATGTTTGGCTTGAAGATGTAAAACTTAGTAGATTCAGTCCATCAGTTCCTTGCGCATTTATTCTGCAACAGTATTGCAATTCGGGGGATCTTTTACATTATATTGTTGGACCCACGCCCGAAGTGAAGAGTGCAAAGGAGCAAATGAAAGAACAGCTTCGAAAGCGATCGCGGAGCCAGGCTCAAGCTGAAAGGCCAAATCAACAGTTTCATCGACGAAAGTTGGCATTCGAAGAGATATTTTCATTCTTCAAAGATATTGCATCAGGGCTAGCGCACTTGCATGCATCTAACTACATACACCGAGATTTAAAGCCAAGTAATTGTCTCTTACATCAAGATGGAAATGAAATACGTTGTCTCATCAGTGATTTTGGAGAAGTACAAGCCGAAAATGTTGCGAGGAAGTCTACAGGTTCTACTGGGACTATTTCATATTGTGCTCCTGAAGTTTTAAAGCAGGATTTATCTGGTCGATATGCAAATTTCACAACGAAGTCTGATATCTTTAGTCTGGGCATGATTCTTTATTTTATGTGTTTTGGACGATTACCCTACAAGAGCGCAGATAGTGTAGAAGAAGAATTTGAAGATATCACGCTTTTGAGAGCAGAGATAAGTTCCTGGTCGGGACTACACGATGAAAGACGGGAAAGACCTGATTTACCTAATCAATTATACGTTTTTCTGAAAAGACTTCTGGCGACTGACCCATCGGAAAGACCGAGTGCAAATGATATTCTTGTTGCTATTCGCACAGAAAAGGGGCTTGGAGACCTTCCTCGGGCAAGAAATTCTAATAATCCAAGTAGTCTTGGTGGCCGCATCCTCCCGTCTCGAGATGTTTCTGTACCTTTTTGTAGTCCTGAAAAAGGTAGTTTCCTAATCCTGCCTTAAAAATACACAGTTAACATAACGTAGAGGCATCAGATCAAGTACGATCAGGTACGTTCGTCAAAAAAGACATTTCAATGTTTAATTCTCCAACTGTCGAACCGAAATCGCTGTCTCAGTTAGTGGTTAAGCCTCTAAACTCGCTCCCTCACTCTCAGATCACGTCGCAAGATCGAAATTATGATGGTAATAATCGTCAAGAAACATCATCGATTCCTAATAGTGCTAGCACTCCACTCTTGATGCCTCCACCGTCGTCTAAATTCTCGGCACTATGCCGTACCGTGTGTCTCTACAAAATCCGAGCCCTACGTAATATTGGCATGTTGCTTACTTACAGCACCCGTGTTCCAAATTCTGTTTTCAAATTTTTGGTGTTCATGGTGAAGTTGTGGAGCTTGATGGAACCGTGCAGCCCTAGACTCGTGCGTTCATCAGTTTGGTGGCCACTGATAGTATTATCGGCATTCGAGCTTGCAATTGGAAGAAAAGGTAATTGGAAGTTGCAATTGACTACAACAGCTGTTCATTTTATAGCTATGGGCATTGCGATATTATTGGGCGGTGGTATAATCCACGGACTCTGTGGCATGGAAGAATGAATATGGCCAAAAAAAGGATGAAATCCATCTGTCGAGTGCCATGAATGGGGTATTTCGGGAATCCTTTTGTTGACTCCAAAATTCGCTTTGGTATTATATATTCCTACCGTGGGTATCCTTTAACTCTTTGGTGTGTCTAGGACTTTCCAGCCCTAAGATGTGGTTAGTGGTTAATGTCGTTTGTGTTCAGATTGCCTCATGGTGAACTTAAACGGGATCGAACGAATTCAGTCTTCATATCGAAACTGATCGGTCATTTCACAAATAATTTTATTCCACTTTCAAAGGTTTTGAACAAGGTGCATGCAACTCAATAAACTTAAGTATAAACATTGACTAGGAGCGCCATGCCACATAGCTACCTACGAACGCTGTCTAGTCTGTATTCGCCAAATTCCAGTGAAATTTCCATAGGCACTAGGATAGATCTTTACTAAGCCTGAGGCTTCATCAAAATTTTGGATTGCGTAGATACAGACGGGGAATCGCGTTAATTTGATTGGTAATCCACTCTAGCGACAGGGGCAGACTACATCTTCGGAAATACACGAGAGAGGCGCCTCCAGTACCACGTTGGCGATCCGATCTACCCTGGTGAAGCACAATGACTAAATGACCTGTAGGTACCAGGAACTTTTATCCTCGCGGCTGGGCGAAGCAGCATCTCTACCAACTATCTGGTGCTCGTTGATCATGCATCCGACATGCGCAGTTGCAGATCTGTAGTTCCGGGTTGGACCAGCGACAGCCGCACCAAACCCCCTGGTCATCCAAGGGTCAAGTAGATTGGGCACGAGACAGGATCAGCCATACAGCGTGATTATTTTGCTGGCATATATGTAGCATGTAGTGTGGAATGCTTAGAATTTATTTTTCAACAATAATTAATACTTTTTCCTGATGTCAAACTTCAGAAAAAGTCTCGGAACCACACCGCATCGCAGATTTCAGCTTTTCCCTCAAAGGCTAATCTAGCGATAAGTGTACGAAGAGGTTAGTATGAGGCAATCTATGCTGACGCTGGTATTCAGCCTTAGCCTTTTCAGGTTGTCACACAATTATTCCCCGTAATATTGTTGATTAATATTGGACAATCTCGTCCATTAGACACAGAGGCCGTCGAAAAACTGACCAAATAATGAGCTGTACGTCACTGCCACGGTGTCAAGTTTGTAGTGGGGCTTTGGCGGAGATTTTAGCGTGCAAATTATGACTCCTGAGGCATTATCTCCTTCCATATTGGGGTTAGCCCCCGTATTTGTGCAAATTTTCGAAAAAATTGTATGGCAATTTGTTTCTGGACACCATAGTTTACAGTGGGCCTTTACTTCGTTTTAAACCTAATCGATATAATGATCGGCTGCATAACATTTGTATTTTTTGGTACTTGACGTTATAACTTAAAAGAATTAATAGATTTTTGAATTACAAATTAGAGCCCCAGTCTTATCTTAACCTTGGATCTGAACATCTGGCTGGAATATTTCTAGGCCTTAATATCTGATTGGTCCCCCACCCTCATCTATTACAGCCCGACATCTTGCTGACATACTCTGAATGAGTCTAACAAGATATTCGGAAGAAAAGGAATCCCATGCCTCCTTTACAATCTTGCAACGACTATCTTGAGTTCGCTGCCTTCCGAAACCCAGATTTGGATGATAACGCTGGATGGAATCCTTCATCCTATTCCAAACAGCTTCAATTGGGTTAAGATCAGGTGAGTTGGCCGGCAAGAAATTAGGTTGAATGAGCCTCTGGCTCATATCTTCTATTGTACTTGCTGCTACGTGGGCAGGAGCATTATCCCGCATTACGGAAAGCCAAGGTCTCATCGAGACCATGCCATCAATAAGAGGAACTATCTTCTCGCAATATTATTGGGAGTTAATGGAACCCCATTCCTTCTCCCAAAACAGACAGGGGCCTTTTTCTGGCCCTGTGAAGCAACCCCAGAACATCCCGCCGACCCTCTACTTTGATTTTTCTCCAACACAATCAGCGTTATATTCTTAGAAAGTCTAGCTCATAATGTTAGAGCATCAAGTTGATATATTCTTAAAGATGAATGTACGAACATTTCTTGTCACCCATTCTCTAGAGTTTCTTCCTTCCTCTACCCAAGTTTCGTCTGTCCATGAAACTGACTTCCAGTCTTCATGTGCCCAATGGAAATGAGCTTCAGCCCTTTCCCTGCGTGTCTTCATAGTTTTTTAAGATACTGGAGGCTTTTTTCTGAGCTACATGTCGTTGATATCCTCTTTTTTTAAGTTCTCTTTGTATTACTCGCTCGCTAACACAAAGATGTCTAAAGTGGCGAGTTCGAGGAATATTTTGCGGCAGTTTTCAGGTGAAGACTCAACGTAATATATAATCTGATCCTTCATAGTCATAGACTCAGTAAGGACATGAATAAAATTCTATATAATCTGATTAACATCTGCTTTCAGTCTTGAAGATGTTACTTTTCTCTTTTTGTGGAAGACAGTTCTACGGTGCAGTGAATAACTAACTTGCCCCTGAGAAATGTCTAGTTGCGCGGCAATCTGCGTCTGGATTTTGTTAGATTTATAGAGCTAATAAATCTGAAAGTTTCTTTAAAAAAAATTTTATCTCAGTTTGTTCATATTTAATTTTTCGACTTGATAAAATTTTTTCATCTCTGGATAGTTGTTTGAATCGAGATGTTGAAGGTGGGGTTTGAGGTGGATTCATCTGCGAAGTAAGGATAGTATCGAGCGAATCCATGTATCTGCTGAATATTCAAATTTGTAATTGAGAAGTCTAACTCTTATTATCAGTCAAGCACCAGATGATACGAGATGTGCAGATTTTTAGCGGTCGACGGTCATAAAAGTGATAGAAAAGTACTAGATTACGGGTTGGGTTTGCATAAAACTGAGGGTGACAAGATTTCAAAATGTGCCTTTAGTCTAGGCCTTGAAATACAGGATGAGAATTATGTACCCTGTCGAATTAGGCGCTAACAGGGGTCAATCACCTGAAGCGAATATCCGCCCCATTTAAATACACTGCAAACTGGAGCCCATGGCCGCAGGGTATGATTAATCTTACTACACAGGCATATTTTCATTTTATGGTTTGCGAGTCACATTTTAACTTAATTTAAAGAATTTACAAATCGCTCTCATTAATTCCATTTAGGGACAGCAGCTAGATGTATGGTCGGGAGCACAAAATATATTCCGCCTGCCGCTCTCTGGGTGCCTGTAGCCACCCGTTTCAGGTACCCAAGCAGAATTTGTTTTCTATTCCAATACTTGCAATTGGTGACCCGTAGGTGAGGTGGTAAAGCTTACCGTTCCAACTTACACAATTACAGTTATAATGATATGATCAATTACATGATATTCCTAATCGATTTCAATATTCTATCTTCCGGTAACCCAACGATCACCACTCATATCATGTAAGCTGTGCGACACCCCTCCATGTACTCAAGGCCTGGCACGGTTCAATTCAAGGGATGTAGGCAGCTTATTCTACACCATGCAAGAAGAAATAGAACGCAAGTCCACAAGCTTAATTCTTCAAGGGCAGCATAGTACCAACTTTCCCAAATTAGCGGAACCTGCCATGGGTGGGATTTGATCCACTTCGTGTCCTCGGGTCTAGAAGACTTGTATGTCATCTTAACCCAGTAATTCCTACTCAACTAGAAATTGGGGATACGATAGAGCTTACTTACTACATGATGCAGTTATTTATTCTTTTCACCACGTTTCTGACAGTGCTGTTCGTCTCCGGGAAACCGCTATCGAAGGTCCATGGTAATAAAGTCCCCTCAAGATTGGGGCCAAGAGACTGTGATGTGACGGCTCCGAAAGTGGTGATAATCTCCTTAGTATGTCTTGAAATTCGAATTCAAACCTGAAGCTCTTCTAACGCACGTAGTTTTCACCTGAAGCCAACGTATGGTACGATAACGCTCATGTGACCGGATCTATCGGCAATCTTTTAGAAAAAAACATTACAGTCCCCGGACTCTCGCCTCTTTTCCCACAAGTCCACTGCCTTGGAGATGGATCTGTCTGCCAAGTAACTACTGGAGAATCTGAAATAAATGCAGCGGCGACTATGACAGCGCTGGTTTATTCCCCCTTATTTGACTTCAGGAATACATACTTTATGGTGGCCGGAATAGCAGGCGTAAATCCCAGACATGGGACTCTTGGCGACGTAGCATTTTCAAAGTATGCTATCCAGGTCGCTCTGCAATATGAGATTGATATTCGAGAGCTCCCAGATAACTTTACGACTGGTTACTTCCCTCAAGGCTCGCAAGCACCCGATCAGTATCCTCTGGACATTTATGGAACCGAGGTTTTCGAAGTCAATGAAAACCTTCGTGATAATGCCGCACGATTTGCGTCAAAGGCCGTGCTTACAGATAGTGCAGCAGCCAAGGTGTATCGTGCGCGCTACGGCTCGTCTCAAGCATATGTAGCTGCTACTAGATCTCCTCAAGTTATAAGCTGCGATGTCACGACATCGGATGTATACTTTTCTGGCGCAAAACTGGGCGAGACATTTGAAAATACAACAAAGCTCTTGACTAATGGTTCGGGAGTCTACTGCGTGACGGCGCAGGAAGATAACGCTATATTAGAAGTGATGGTGCGCGCTACTCTCGCAAAGCGCGTACAATTCTCTCGTGTCATCATTATGCGTACTGCCTCAGACTTTGATCGACCATATCCAGGACAGCCCACTACGCAGAACCTCTTCATGCCGCCGGCGGGAGCCTTTGAGGCAGCAGTCTCCAATATCTTTCTAGCCGGCACACCCGTCATTCAAGGTATTCTCAATCAATGGCTGACGAGGTTCGAGAGAGGTGTCAGCCCAACTAATTATATCGGCGATATATTTGGGAGTTTGGGCGGGCAGCCGGATTTCGGGCCGGTAGGCCGTTCATTGCGGCCTATGCCGTGAGTCACTTATACTGTGGTGCATAAGCAAGACTGGCTGTCGGGAGCGGGTCCGTGAATAATTGGTGAGGCGATGATAGAGCGATCGGCGTTTTTATTTTGTAAAATTTTTAATGTGCGCACTACGCAAACAAGGCAAGCTAACTCTGGACACTGGCGCAAACGCCGGCAGCTATGGGGCAAACGGGCAGTGATTCTAGCTTGTGCATTAGTCAGGCGGAGTTGTGGTGGTTTCTTTTATTAGCGTGTTCTCGCGTTTTCGGTATCTGCGCGCATTTACATACTCATGCATGCATATTGACACATGCTCCTTTGGTCAAGGAGTTGATAAGTTTCTCGTTGACTACAGGCTCACGTCTACATCATTGCTTTCCTAGTGCCCGCTTTCTTGACAGGGTGCCGAAGTCGCATCTTTGCCACGATAAGGAATGTTACCCGCGGCTGCATAGATCCTCAAGAGGCGAGTACTTCATCACTCTGACCCACCAAATATTTTCCAGGGTTCAAGATATGGCGTTTAGTCTATTATGGTCACGTTACTAAGAGTAGAGAGGCAGGGGCATGCGAGAAAAAGTTTGTCTAATTTGTGAGTACATTCATAGCCTATGAGCACCAGGTAAATTAAAGAAGCGGATCAAACAAGTCAATATCTAAAGCTTGCACACGTAAATAATTCTGCAAGACCTAATCTGCTGCCGGGCAACATATTCCTGCGATACCGCCCATCGTGCCCATTCAAGCTCAAAATAGTGTTTAATCGACTCGCGAGCACACTTTCCCTTTTTTCCACCCCCTACTTGGCTCGTCAATGGGTACCGATTACAACTTTGACTTTATTCTCGATATTTACAGAGTAAAAAGTGTTATTTATTCGGCAGCTTAACCCCACAACTGTTGGAAGGAATGGGACTTCCCGGTTATGTCCGATAATTCATCGAATGTTGAGCTTTAAAGGCTGATGAAATTGCATCTCATACGCTGAAAATAGTTGTTCAGCTTATCGCTATCATCTCGATTCTGACTGTCACATTTTAATGGAGAACAATTCAGCGCACGCCTAGTATAGCAGGGGCCAGAACCTTCGGAGTTGATGAGCAGCCTTTTTGAAGCGAGCCTCATCTATATTATGACGATGGGCGACTTTCTCTATTTTGTGGTTTTTGCTGGGATTAATCACCTCTCTAATATTTTCATGAGGTGCGTTGCAGCGGCGTGCTACAGCACGATAGAAACCCCATCTAAGAGTGTACTTGCCAAACATATAGGCGTAAACAGGGATGTGGGCGGAATTAAAGGCGGGTATTCTGCCGATAGAATGGCCATCATGATGGGCCCGAGTGATGTTGTAGAACACATCAGATGTTTCACTAAGCTGCTCCAGAATTCCCCGCGCTTCGTGCCGCTCTTTAAACTCATCTCGCAAACATTTTTGGTACCATGATCGATTTGGTCGGCTAGCGACACCGAGCATTGTATGCCAGCGGTTGATGATTGTAATTCCAACCGGGTTAGACTCTACGACACGAGTTTGAAGCGAGGGATTAAAGGCCCTTTTGAGTAAATTCAATTGTATGCTCTTGGCGACGTTCATTTCCAACAAAGGTTGAGAATTTAAAAAGATTAATAAATGAGAAAAAATATTTTTTTGTAATAAAAGTTCCTGTGTTTGATGTTTTAGAGAAGCTGAGTCTTATGATTGCTTGTAGAAAGCTGGATTGCGTAAATGCTTGTAGAAAGCTGGAATGCGTGAATGCTTGTAGGAAGCTGGGTTGTATAATTGCTCGAAAGAAACTTGTCTTTTTGGATATAAGTAAATCGAGTAGCTGAATATCTAGAAGTTTAAGTAGTATTCCATAGCCCAGCGATTCTGTAGTGTCAGTTTGAAATGAAACATAACAGCCTCATTGATCGTGCAAGGCAAAAATAGCACGTTGCATCAAGAATATTACAGATGAGTAAACGCTTGTTTAGGATGTTGCTGTCAAGTGGTAGGGGTCAAGACTGAAATTTCAAGGTGATAGCCTCAAATAATTAACGGTTAAAATTTTGTGATTATTTGAAGATTGCCAAGCGGGATCAACGGTACCCACTTTTTGCTTCATGTCCTGTGTCCTGTGACTTTCTCAATTTGATAGCTGTAAGTCTGTAGCTTGGCAGTGTTCAGTGATCCTAGAGTTACATTTCTTCTAGGCACTCCCGGGGAAGGACATCGACTTTCCGAACCGAGGAGTTTTGAGTGCTAGGAACATCTAATATTCATCCAGGTAAGTGAGACTAGATTTTTGACCCATGACCCTAGGAGACTACAGATTTGTGAGGAGTGAGATACCTCGGTGTTTCGCCTATTTATAAGACTGATTGAGGGTTGAAGACTTTCTTATTGCTTGGCATCGGTAAACTGCAACTCACAGAAGCGATTACGAGCCACTACTTGAAAATTCCTTCATGGTAGCGTGCAAAGCCTTCATGCTAAGTCTATTTCAGTTGCTTTAATCCAAAAGATGACTGCTTTAAGCCTCTTATCAGCCTCATTTACGTCTCTGACACCAATCACTTAGGCATTCCAGGTTAGTATCATCGCATTTAGGCCCGGATGAGAGACAGTCAGAATATGGGCTTGAACAGCCACAGTACTAAGGTCGTGTTACGGACAGGTCGGGATTGCCCTGGTGGCTCCTCGAAGATGTCAGATGTAGAATTGTTTTCTGTTGAAGGCTGGGGGTCGGGACTACAGTTCGGTTAGTTTCGGAGTATAGTGGCCCACTTATCTTATCTGTTTCCGATGGACCCATGGTTGAGCTGTGGAGTTACTGTTTGTCGCAGAGTGAAGGTCTGTCTATCAACAAGGCCAAGTTGCTGTGTCTGTCCTTAGATCCTCTATCAAATTGTTTCGTGATATCTAGTTACAGATGTGACTTTCAGTTTGATTAGATAAGTCATGTTTATGTGCTGTTGACACAGGATCTTAGACTACGAGGAAATATTGGCCGGATGTCTTAGGTCTTTATCTAACTTGTTATAATCTAGAATTATCGTTATACTGATACCCTGCACATGAATTATATCATGTGATGGTCAGTCTAGTCCCTAATCAAATACTCATTACATCATGAGGCGGCTGTAAGACAAACATGCGGTAGATCCTTGGCCATCACGAGCCACATAAAAAGCCTCTCAAGAACCAATCGAGGAATAAGCCCTCTTCTCTTGAGACAAGCACTTCAAGGAGCAGCTTTTACAACCTTGCTTTACGGGGCTGAGACTTGGTATTCCAAAGGAGCCCCAAAAGGACTAGTTCTTAGAATTCAACAAAGGATGAACGATGCGGCCCGAGCAGCTCTTCCTGTATTCCGAACGACACCAGTTGCTGTACTTCTCCGGGAGACAGGTTGGGGTCCGGCACGAGCCTGGCTTGAACGTATTCACGATCGCCTAGCCGTCCGCATAGCCTCGGCAGATCCTAGGCACCCCCTTCGCAGAAGATGGAATTCCGCAAGAACGGTGTGGATCCGACAAAGAATTTCTCCAGAACTCTCAGAAGATACTATCCCCCCACCCCGGAAATTTAATCGGAATACATCTTTGGAAAAGATTGGGGCGGTTGGTCGCAATGCTGGAGTCGATGCCTTCTCCGGTTGGTTCGTTCTGCAATCAATATTGGACCTTCTGTTTTCTCCGATGGTGCGTTAATCGAGGACCGAGCAGGAGCAGGATATTCGATAAGACGTGGCGCGGTACACGAGATATCCCGTGGAACTATACCTCTAGGTACCTCAGCAGAAGTTTATGATGCTGAAATTGCTGGAGCTATTGAGGGGCTAGCGGCTGCCATCCGCAATCCCATGGCATTTTATGCAACCAACGTAACTGTCTGCCTAGACAACCAAGAAGCGGCTCTACGGCTGCTCCTGCTACCCCCCACCGCAACAAGTTCCCGTCAAATTACGAAATTCTGGAAACTCGCTGCCAGCTGGTCTGAAATGAAACGCGCATCCTGCACTAGTGCTGGAACAGTTAGTGTCCGATGGTGCCCTGGACATTCTGGAATCCCCGGAAATGAAGCAGTAGACTCTCTAGCCAAGTCAGCATGTCTAATGCCTACATCGTCTCTCCCTCTGTCCATAGCAAGGGCAAAAAGGAAGGTGGCTCAGCTCTACAAGGCCTTCAACGACGCCTTCTGGGAACGAGAGGCTCCGGCTAGATATAAAGAACTCAAAATTGATACTAGTTCAGGAATAACCCCAGAACTAAAAAGCTTAAATCGGCGGACGTTTGGGGCGCTCATCGCAGCTCGCTCAGGAGACGGAGATTTGGCCCCACATAATCGACGTTTCGCACACGAAGATGCCCTAATGACTTGCTCCTGTGGCGAAGAAAAAAACCCTGATCACTTCTTCTTATGCAGTATAGGAAGAAACCGTGCCCGCCTTCGCGGTGGACCTCGTCATCCTTGCCCCGGCATCAAATGGGTACTCGGCACGCCTAAAGGTGCCCTCGCCTTCGGTATATGGGTCGAGCTGACGAAATTCTTCGACGAAATCCAGAGAGCCCATTAGATATTTCCAAGTGAAATTTTACGATCGGGTGTGGGGTTAATGTTAGATGGAAAAATGTATCCCTATTTTCTTGTTCTGCAGGTGTAATTTAAAACTACGTGTAATAAAGAAAGAGTAAAGTTCCTGGTAGAGGGAAATTTGCTACATTTAAATTGGAAAGTAGAGTGGCGGACAGCTGGTCAGACTCTTTTATAATTTCTAGGTGTTGTAGTACGCGCTAGAGCGTCGGGTAGCTCTGTAGGGACTGGGCCGTCCAGCACGTGACAGTAGTCACGAGCTGTGGACAGGCACGACGTTAAATTCAATCAAATCATCATGAGGCGGCTATCTATCCTACAAGCAGACCTATCATCTGGATTTAGCGATGAATTCGATGGCGATATAAGGTTCCCAAGAGTAGATGGGCCCTTTAATGCACCGAAATCCTCAAACTCCGTTGTTATACCACTTGAATATCTCGCGCTGATTCTACGACTAGTCGATTACTGAACATTGCGAATGAGCGGGAAACAGTCGCGAAATTATTCGAGGAGCAAAGTTAATATACTCAGCGGAAGCAAGTTGCGACATGATACTATTTTGTCTGTGCAGATCCAATTAGACTTCATTTGACAATAGAGATGTCTAACGGTAATAGGTCGTGCAGGCACGCCAAACGTTCTCTAGAGGACTTTGAGGTCTGGATTATCCTGTGTACCTTCTTGGTGTTAAATGTTTAAAATATATAGTTATACCTTGAGAACGACGTAGGATCTCTTCCCCAGCCGAATGCGCAAGACTTGCATTTTGAGACAGAGACAACGAGACTTGTTGCTAAATCGGCTAGTTCCACACCGAATAAATGGATCAAATTATCAGAATAAGTATCTATATCAAGGCTAGCTGAGCAGCTGTATACCTTCTAATTCCTATAGACTTCATCAGTTAATTACATGATGTTCGACACCTAGCAGTCTCCACCATTTTCGATATGACAAGAATATCACAGCAGCATTGAGGATTACAGATCATGGGGATACTTCGGCCGGATCAGAGAAACTGAGACAGCCGTTTGTGTCCGGAGTCGATACCTTAAACGTTTGACTTCAAGTCATGCCCTTGTAAAAGTATGAAAACGCCAAATGTATGCATCTATGTTGTTTATTGTGCTACTTGAGTCTTAGACTATCTAGAATGTTGGGCTCCTATTTGACCTTGGCAACATCTTGGACAGTGCTCCTATCCTCACTTGATATTCGGAAGATTATTGATATATTGCCCGTGATGAATCGCCAATCAGCTAAGTTTTTACCCGGGGAACTTTATACCCAAAAAGAGAACATAAAAAATCGTATCAACGAAAACTGCGTGCACGGGAAATGGTCGCAAAAAACATGCAGCCCAAGCCAGGCGAGGCCTAGACACAGGGACCACATGAGGTGCGCATATTTATTCATTTCTCCCTTCTTTATGATATTCGAAGTCAACTCGAGCCAACCCGCCATCGCCGTATCGGGTGCTGGGTACGCTCCGAAAACTGATCGGATGGCTTTTCCTCCACGATCAAGGGTTGGTAACTAGAAGGGCCTCAACCCTACCATCTGATCTCATCGTGGTTAGTTTCATGATAATGGTGATAGGGGGATGTGTTGAGAGATGAAGACGATACAGACCGCGAAGGCTATTAGGAATTCTCGTCGAAGTGGGGACGATGTTACTCAAACTTTGCTCTGTAGACTCTACAGTTAGAGCTAAAGGTTTGTGGTGAACACCACTAATAGGTGTCGAATTTCGTCTCCCAAAGCGCCAAATGACTATAGCCGGAGACAGTGCGTCTCAATATATTCACAATATCCATGACTCGCAGATTTAGAGATCCTCAGTTTGTATTTTAATCGTCAATTCTTGGATTCCATACAAAGCGTACTAGCGATATACGAACAATTCCCTAATGAAGCTACTTGTTGGAAATTGTGTATGATGATCAGAGTGCCAGCAGTTTATCTATTTTCGCAACTTGTAAAGTGACAATTCGCCGGTATTCAATATTAGGCTTAAGCGAAGGCTCGTATCCTCAAGCCTGGCTTCCAATTTCTGTAATTTCCCCATTCTGCTACCATTGTGGTATACATAAATAAAATATTCAATTTTTCTGACGTGGTGCCTCGAGGCCCATGCAGGTTTTATCGGAAGATATGTACTTTAAGTAGGATGACTCAATTTGACGTTTAAAACACTCATACTCAGATTTCCTTTGCAGATACCTCTCGAGGTTAAGCCTACGCGGTATATAACCTCTTCCGCGCATACCCACCACAGGGAAAAGCGTGAAAAGCCTGTGGCTATCCGAGTGTGCTTACATCATCCCACAAATACAACCATAACCGCGAGAGAGAGAGGTATGTGGGTCTTACTGGATTCGAACCAGCTTTCTCCTGTCTCGAATGGGGTAGGTGCTCAAGCTGCCCAGAATCTACTTGGCAGAACGACCCGCATGGTGTACCACTGGTGATGCCTAAAAAAAGGGGTACCACTCCACCATCCAACCCATTATTATGATATACTAGTGGGTTTCAGCAACTAGATTAAATTTAGGGTTTTGCGAACAGACGAAGCAGAATCCCTGATTAATTTTCGAAGCTTCCCTCCTTAATGATTTCGGTTTTAAACAAGAACTTTGGCCAGCGGTGACACTCTAGGAGGTTTCAATGAGACTCATGGCAGTTCAAAAAGTAGCTCGATAGTCATCTGTAAGATTTTCTGGCTATGCTTCACAGCCGGATAGCAAACTGCTAGTCGGCGTACATGACGAATTACAGAGGCAATTTGAGACTATGCTCATACGCTTGGCGTCAATTTTGCACTAAGTTCGGACTTACTGTTGAGCGCCTTCTCTTGCCCCGATTTTCTCCGAATTGTTTCCAAACTCTCTTGCCAAAATGTAACAACACTCAGATCTAACCTTCAACCATTCACTCAACAAGGCTACAGATATCTGCACGTTTTCATCATTCTTCCTTGCATTTTCTTGTTTGAAAATACTAGCTTGCAGAGTTTCCGTCATAAATGTTCGCATTTAAATTTGTCATATAACCATGCGAGATCGACAAGTAGAGGCAAGCTCCCTGGGAAGAAAATATGAATGACGCCTGGCTGGTCATGGTAAGATACCTGTAAGAAAAACATTATCTAATGTGGATGCGAGGGCTGCCCCCAGACTACGTACAATTGTCGAATCGAGCAAGATAAGGACTTGCAGGGAAGTCTCTTCCACCACACACTCGAATCGTTGACGCACCCTTGATCTTTAAACTCTTGTTTTATGAGTTCACACAGGTAGCTTTCGAAATGGCTTACGAAGGACTATGAACTGAAAGCATACCCGCAATCTTTGACCACAGAATGCCTATCAAATTTATCGAGTTTGATGTTCTTTTTATACCGAAAATTACCGAAGATTGCAAACACGTTGCTTCAGAACTAGATAACAACAAGCGCAGATGTCAGTCTTAGCGCAATCCGCACTTACTATTGAGTGATCTGGATACATGGTGTCTTCCCGTATCCTGGCGATGTTATCCTCGCTAGGTCTCTACCGCTTATCGACTCGCCTTAGTCACCCAGAATCAAAAGTCAACCGCAAAAATCTCGTCATGCCGCATGCTGCACATCACCCTTGACCCCTGTAAATTAGGGATCAACCTGCTTCTCCTGCAACCTCTGCTATATACGATGTCATGTCGTCGATCACTTTGGAAATTGGGCCAGTGAGGACTAATTTGAAGGCCACTCTTTGCGACACGAGTACTCAAAAGTTATCATTCGCGTTCATTACAAACCTACAGCCTGGCCGCAGAGTCTACAGAGCTAAGAAACTTTCAGATGATGCCGGATGACATCTGTAATCAACAAGTCTACGGTGTTCTGCAAACAACACTGTGAAAAGACTTAGTGTGTTTTGTGGCGTTTTTAGATGCATCTCAACCACTTACAAGGTCTGTTACTTCGACTCAGGGAAATATTAGAATTAGAACACGGAGTGTTATGAGTGATCAAGTCCGAATGTTCCCCCGCGCATGCTCACAATATATGAAATACAGTTGTAGAATGAGTTTAGCAATTGATTTGATTTTGGAGAAATACTAATCCAATTTTAGTGTCGTCACAAAGTTGGTAACTATGATAAATAAATGTTAAGCGCAGCGCTGTTTGAGGGGAGTTACATTGCAGGCATAGGAGTGAATATGCTACTAGATGGGTAACATTGGCCTGTACGCAGAGGGGACTTTCATGTTCTATGTATGTGTTTGTTGTCCAATGAAGTCTATGACTATGTAAGGACATGTAGGTCCTTTCTACTTACAGGCCAGGAGTATCTATGCCTCGGGTAGTGTACTCTGTCCTATGCCTCATTTACGACTTCTTTCCAGCAGTAATACCCCCACAGGTCTTCATTCGAGTACACACCAAGAGGAGCAATTATCCCATATTAGTATTAATAGTAGTGATTTTCGACCCGAGTTTTTTTTTTTTTTTTGGATCATTTAATGTGTATTCAGCTATCTAGCTATGACACATGACCGGTGCTATGTATACATATTGGATGACTCTTTTGACATTAGAGACACTCATACTCTGGATTTCATTTGCAAATACCACTATGAGGTATGTTTGCTTACACAAACAGTCGACCCTCCTCCGTTAGTACCCACCAAAGGGAATTTAAAAACCTTTAGTTATCCAAGCATGCCTTCGTCATCCATGCATACCAGCGCCGCGAGAAAAGTAGTTGTGTTTTGCTGGATTTGAACCAGCGATCTGCTATCTCAAGTGGGATATGTGTTCAAGCTTCCCAGACTCTACTTGGCAGACCGGCCAAGACGATGTACCACCGCACCATCCAACCATGGCAGTTTTTATAGTGTCGTCTGCACTCTCGCAGCCGAAGATTTGGCACGCACAAAGCTCAATTTGTAAAAACTCCTTTCCAAAATTCAAAATTCCACGCCCGTCGAGACTGTATCCAATCCTCTGCATCATCTTATTAACTTGTCCTGATCCCTCTCACATCTATCCCAAGGAATTGTCTTCCAGATTTGTGCGCCACGCTTTGCTTCCTCCGTCGGGTGTAAATATCGGCGTGGGCGTGTATCTGGCGACCAGCTAAGGCCAGAGAAAGTCGACAAGAGGTGTGGTCATTGGGATTAGGATGTACTAGGTCGTACTTGTAAACTTGATGAGGTTTAGGTAGGAATCGATTTCGTTGGGAGTGACAGATTGATATGGTGGAGTAATTTGAATCATTGCCTCGTGGGCCAACTTGTTCGGTATTGCGAAATTTGACTGAACTTGGCTCTGGGAGAATATTTCACTCCCAGGTTCGTAGAGGACACCGCGCACAGGTGTTCAGTCTTGCCCTCCTTTCGACCCGAGTTGCTCGACAGTGCCAAACAATCTATAAATAGCCTGCCTAAGGGCTTGAGGTCGCGCTAAGCCCAATTGTAATAGTACAGCGTGAAGTAGAGATAAATGCACCCATCCCCACACTATGCCGAGAAAGCAAGTCAAGCAAAAGTGTACTGCCAGAGAGACTACCTCGGATTCCTCTGACCAGAGCCAAAATTTTCCCAGGATAACCCTCTGGCCGTGGCGATTCGATGGAGTTGCGACCGAACGGCTGGTCTCATTCCCCAGGCCCAGATTCATGGGTGACGCCGCGGACAGGTGTTGAGTCTGCCTCTCCACCCAACGATATTCTGAACACCGCAAATTACATTAAAAAATTTGCAGCGCCCAACTACGATATGTTTCACGAAATTTCTATTATTCCATCTTACTTTGCTATCTGATCCGATACCAAGAAACCACCTATCCAAGATTGGCCTAAGATACTACACACCGAACACATTCTATCAGAACTTCTCTGACCTTCTAGCACGATCTTCGACTTTTCTCGAGGCACGAGTGATGGAAGGAGTTGAAATAATGCTAGGAAGACAAACGATGACTCTCCCAGGTACACAGAAGTCTATAACACCCAGCTAGCCGTCCTTTTCGAACTCTTCAGAGGGGTAGCTACGTCTTTGGATTTAGTCCCGATGTCGATATTAGGAGAGCCCCGCATCCAGTGGCTATTGCTGTATTTTTCAGGCTAGCATACAGCCGCAAATGGCCTTGGCTTCGTTGGCTGGAGGGGGGAGGTAACGGAGAGCAAGTGGCTTCCTTAAGTGTATGGTCGACAGAGGACTTGTGGGGGGCTGTATGGGTGACATAGGAAGAGAAGTTCTACTCGCACAACTATCCTGGGCCTACGGGTAAAGGGGACCTATATCTCACATAAAGTTTTGGTGAAAGTACCGTATTTAAAAAGTCCGGTTAGCCTCATCATGGCCTACTCCTCGCTAAGAACTTACACGGGAAGCTAACGTCTTCTCAGATTCCAGGTCAAAAGAATCTACGACATAGGTATTGCACTGCTCTCAACACTTATTCCGTAGCGTTTGTTCAGCGGTAATACCCCCATATCTCTCTATTCGAGTTTATATTCAGAGAAGCCGGCTTTATTTCGTTTCACCCCCCCAGCCAACCAAGCGAAGATTACTAGCAACTATGTAGCTGCTGGGAAGATTCTCCAAATTGCCACTAGGTACGCAGCACTCCTATTCCCGAAATCAGAACGGATCCTGCTGTTCTTGCTGACGAGAGGGACGGCCGCATTGCTTTCATCAACTTTTTGTTTGCTGGGGAATGGGTAGCATGTGTTTGAATGCAATTTAGGACCATATAGCTGCCATTGTAACATTCAATAACGTAGTATCTTTCTTGTAATCCGGTTCCACAGCCAGTATCGTCGTCATGAGTGTTATCGGAAGCGTTTATCTGAGGTCAAGAGAGAAGATCACATTGATCAATGTTCGTCCATGCGTGACTCAACTTTGCCTAGGGGACTATTCGCAACACCTATCAGTGGTGTCCCCTACGAACCTCCAGCTCTCACTGTAGAGTCTGCAGAGCCGAGATTGAGGAATAAAGTTCTCACTTTGATGAGGATTCCCAATCGCTTTCGCGGTCTGTATCGTCTTCATCTCTCAACACATCCCCCTATCACCATTATCATGAAACAAACCACGATGAGATCAGATGGTAGGGTTGAGGCCCTTCTAGTTACCAACCCTTGATCGTGGAGGAAAAGCCATTCGATCAGTTTTCGGAGCGTACCCAGCACCCGATACGGCGATGGCGGGTTGGCTCGAGTTGACCTCGAATATCATAAAGAAGGGAGAAATGAATAAATATGCGCACCTCATGTGGTCCCTGTGTCTAGGCCTTGCCTAGCTGGGGCTACAGGTTTTTTTGAGACTTTTTCCCGCGCACGCAGTTTCCATTGCTACCTTTTTTTTTTTTTTTTTTTTTTTTTTTTTGGGGGGGGTAGAGGGTTCCATGGAAAAAGTGGCCGAAATCCAAGGGTAAACTTTGAGCTGAATGGTTATTTGTCACGGGCAATAAATCAATGATCTTTGAAGTAACAAAAGGGGCACGGAGCTCTGTGTAAGGTGTGGCCTGGGTCAGAGAGGAGCCCAATGTGCTACATAGTCATAGACCCAAGTTGTACAATAAAACACACAGACATACACACCCACAATTTTTTGAAATTCGAATTTTCGAATATCCCTATTTTCCCCCTCTTCCTCCCTCTCTCGATATCGTGATATCGTTCACCCTTAATTCAAAATTTGTGAGCGACTGGCAGGCTACCAATATGCCCCCAGTTCGCAGCAAGCTGTCGCGGGCGAAAGACATCGTAGATAGCCGCAAGCACCTCAAACACGTTGCTCGACAGAAAGCAAGCGACAAGATGGGTCCACTGACTACCGTTCAAGAGATGAACATCGACCAATTAATCGACAAAAGTACCATTGCGAAATGATAGATGTTGGCAGCTTTGAAATTGACAAGATTCTTAAGAATCTGAAAAGACTACCCAACTCAATTCACTCCAAGCCAGATGCGACCGGAGCTGAAAATGCAGCGACGATTCGCAAAAAAATTCAGGGACAGCTACTACCGGGCAGCATGTACTTCCTCTCATTGAAGTCGCTGTGTCGGCTATAAGGCGGGCTGCGATTGCAGATGCTAACAAGGCAAAAGGTGCAACATCTACCCCGAACCCTCTGGAACATACACCAGGAACCACAGAAGAGAATCCTTCTCCTCACGGTGGAAATGAAGACAGGCAGACGGAGGAATGCCCCCCGAACTCAGAGCCTTAATTTAGGCTGAGGAACGCCGGGCCGCAAAAACTGCGGAAAATGTAAAAATTTGCACCGCTGCAATAAACTGTGTCGAGAATGCTCTGTCCCTCCTATCCAAAGGGTCGAGTGTTCAATTTATAGACTCTATGAAAGTCTACATTAGAGCTGCAATAGCTCAATTTATGATCACGGGACCAGGTACAGTCCTCCCATCACTTCCCCCACGCCCCGAAAGCCAGGTTACTGGCAGCAAGATTATAGAACGTGCTGCCAAAAAGCAGGATGAGCCACAAAGTAAAGTGACTCATGACAAAGTCTCCCAGGCCAAAACCATTTGGGCGTCAATCACCCGCACCGGTATAAAGACTTCCCCGGCAGCTACAAAAGTCGCACAGGCTATGCCAAAGGCGGCAAACTCGACGCGAACGGCCCAAAATTCAACCGAACCAACAAAACCGGCTGTGCAAGACGAACGTTTGTTTCTCCGCCTCGAAAAAGAGCATCTCTGGCGAACGCTCT